CAGCCCAAGTTGATCATTTGTAGATACCATGCCTTGCTCCTGGTTTTCTATGCTAGCTTCTTAGGAAAAGGGTAAATCCAGGTCAATGTGGCATGCTCCAGATGTGACTTTGTGAGTCATAAGCGTTAAAAATATGTACATTGGGCTGGGTGTGGTGGCTCATGTCTGTAATCCCAGCATTTTGGGGGGCTGAGGTGGGCAGATCATTTGAGACCAGCTTGGGTAATATAGCAAGACCCCACCTCACATAGCAAGACCCCACCTCACATAGCAAGACCCCTACAAAAATCTTGCAGTACTACATGTGCCTGTCATCCCACCTACTTGGGAAGCTAAGGTAGGAGGATCTCTTGAGCCTGGGAGGTCGAGGCTGTAGTGAGCCATGATCACACCATCACATCACTGCACTCCAGCCTGGGCAACAGAGCAAGACCGTGTGTGTGTGTGTGTGTGTGTGTGTGTGTGTGTGTGTGTGTGTAGGCTGTGAGCCATGATCACACCATCACATCATTGCACTCCAGCCTGGGCAACAGAGCAAGACTGTGTGTGTGTGTGTGTGTGTGTGTGTGTGTGTGTGTGTGTGTGTGTGTATGTGTGCAAGCCTGCATGCATGTACATGCTATGGAGAAATTAATTCAATAGCTATTTATTGAGCATTGGATGCTGTGCCGGGCATGGGGATAGAAAGATGGCTGAGATGGGATCTTGCTTTCAAGGAACTTTTAGTCTAGTGGGAGGGACAATTTCAGCAAAATATTTACCCGCAGTGATAAAATAAAGCATACACATGATGAGGCTTCCTGGGAGTTGTGTTGAGGTGAGTGAGTCCTCAGGATAACTTGGCCAGGGGCATAGAGACATGGCTAGGCAGGGTGTTGGCAGGGAGAGGAAGGACCAGGCAGGCAAGAAGGAGCCAGGCCTTCCTGAGGAACGTTGGGCATCTTAGAGGTCATTGGAGAGGGAAGACTCATTGTGATGTTGGCACTGGACCCCAGGGAAGGAGCTGGCTTACCAGTATTACCCATTTTTAGAACATTCAGTGTGATGACTGGTCCTCTGGAGTCTCGGGGTCACAGAGCTCTGCCCCCCTCCCCGCCACCTCCAGCAACCCGGGAGCTCCCGGCTCAGCCGCTGTGCCTTCTGGTGGCACCTCTGCTGCTGAGCCCCACTCTGGTGTCATTCCTCCACCAACACCTAGTTTGTGTTTTGTTTTGTTTGTTGCTTTTGTTTTTGTTTGAGATGGGGTTTCTCCATGTTGCCCAGGCTGGTCTCAAATTCCTGGGCTCAAGTGATCCACCTAGCACAGCCTTCCAAGTAGCTGGGGTTACAGGTGTGAGCCTCCATCTCTGGCTTAGCATTCGTGTGTTTTAGAGCTAAAATATACCAAGCTGGTTTACGTCTTGTCTCTCTTAATTCAGGTAACTGTGAAAGTAGATGCGTTAAAATCCTCATTTTAGGAGTTTTTATTTAAAAGTGGAAGCTCAGATCAAGGAAGTTTTTTGCCAGAGGATTGAACGAAGATCAATCCTGTGCTTCTCCCAGATGCTGAGAACGTGTTCCTCTAACTCTGGAGGCTGCCCTTGTCGGGGTGAAAAACTTTAAAGTCATGTGTATACATTAGGGTGCTTTCAGGTGACCTGTGTGGAAAAAGCTACCTTTGGCAGGAGTTTGAATTGGCAAGAAAAAGAAATCCCAGTGGGCTTCCTTCAAATAGTCTCCTTCCTGTATGTTTGTGACATGGAGTGAGATGACGTAAATGTGGGGTCTAAGTTAACACTTTTGCTGGCAAGGGAAGGTCTGCTACTGAGGTGCCTGGATGAGGCAAGCAAGGGAGGCTGGCTGTGCATGGCCGAGGGCCCTTGAGTGGAGGAAGGCCTGCAGAACACCAGAGAAGCCTTCTGTACACATCCATTGGTTTTCTGTCCTTCACGGGTCTCCTCCTATCTAACCCTGGCCACCCACAGGAAGTGCATCAGGCAGCAGGTCTCTGCCACCTGGCCCCTTCCTGGGCCTCTGCACCCTCGTGCTGTCCCTCTGCATAGACTACCCTCACCCTGCCCTGAACCACGAGAGCATGGCCCAGTCCTCTCAGCTCTGTGGCCTGAGCTGGAGCTCAGTCCCTGACCCACAGGAGGTACCTGGTCAGTGCGGGGTGAACAAACATGCACACAGAGCACAAATGAGAGGAAAGATTCTTACGAGGTGCTTGAGAGGTGGACATGACTTTTAAAATAAAATTTCCTTTCTAAAGTGCTTTGTCCTTAAGCCTGACCTTCACAAACATAGTGAGTACAGGTGAATCTTAGGCGCTCTGACCTGTACACAGTAGTTACCCTTAAGCCATCCTGATCCGGGCCTGCATCACGGATTCATACATAATCCCAGCCAGGTGGCTGCATTGTGGCCACTCTAAGGTGCTGGCTACATGGTGATGGATGTGGTGATCTTATTTCATGAGAATCCTAGTCTTTCCTCAGTGCTGCAAGGACTTAGCAGGTCCTCCCAGGGAACGTACAAAAGGCCTCCAACAAGAAAGAATTGAGGGAGGTAGGGCCTTTTTAAGTGGGACATACTCTCAGACAGGAGAATGAATTCTCAGTCCATCAGTAAGTACTAGACTCCTGGTAAATGCCCAGCTTCCTGGGTGCTTAGGTATAACAGAAACATTTCAGCTCCTGGCTGTTTGATAAGTAGAAACATGCATGGAAATACCACCAAAAGTACAAAGCCATCTACATATGGTGCCATATGAGTGTCACAGACAGAAGAGCAGAAGTTGGGGGAAGTGTCACCAGTCTGATTGGGAGGCCCGGGGAGGGGCTGGGGCACGTGTGTCAGCCACATCTGAAGGACAGTGAGTTTTGTAGATCAGCAGAAGGGTTTTATGGAGATGGTGGGAGCTCAGGAGGAATAGTCATGATGATTGTGCTGGCTTCGCCACAGGGCACCTCCCGTATGCGGGGGTGGGGTTCCCTTCAGGAAGACGAACAAGGTGCGGCCTGCTCAGGTGCACCGCCCAGCCACCTTCCACCCTGAGCCAGGGCTGGGCTGCCAGTTTTCCCTGGCCTCAAACAGTTCAGGTCGATTTTCTGGAATACATTTTCCTTGCTACAAAGGTTATATTGTAATGGTTTAAACCGCAACTACTTTTGCACCAACCTAATTTCATTGCTATTTTTCTATCTAAAAAGTATGAAGAGGAAAATAAAGTTACCCACAATCTCACCGCCCTGAGAGAAAGAGCATTAACCCTTGGTGCACTTTCTTCCAGGTGTTTTGTGGTGATAAATGCCAGGTAGTGGGTATGAGTAGCCAAAGCTCATGGAGCTTCGTAGTGAAAAACCCACCATCAGCAGCATGGCTGGCCCCACACGTGTCCGTTGTTAATGAGATGAACTCGGCTGTCTAGTGTTGGAAAAAATTTCCCTTTACCATTCCACAGAGCAGAGCCGACACGGACTCAACGCACACTCCCTGAAGTGAGTCCTGTTCATGGGCAGAGCAGCCCTGGGCTGAAGGTGAAGCTGAGCCTCATCTGAAGCCAAAGCCTCTTCCCAGAGCCCCAGGAGGAGCCTCAGTGAGGGCCCCAAAGTGACCCAAAGCAGCGTGTGTGGTCTCTGAGCCCAGGCGCGGGCCTGTCTGCTACACAGCTCAGGTGGCCTCTCCGTAGGTTTCCTGTCTGTTTCCCCACGCTCCCTAGCTTCTACAGACTCCTCACCCGCTTCATGCCCATAAGTAGAAGCAGATTTCCAGATGGTCCGTACGCTGTTGCCATGGGCCTGTCTTGCTTCATCATAAGGGCTGGGATGACTGAAGCCGTGGGCTGGTAGTCTTCACCTTTTTGTTGTATGAAGTTAGAGCTGAGTTATTTTGAGTAGCAGAACATAATGCAGAGAGGAATCTGGGTGGAATGACCAGCCCACCCAGGGCTGGCAATAGGAGAAAAGTATTCGAGTTCTGTAATGCGTGTGCGTATAACCTGGTGTCTGTCTATATATATCATTTGTATAATTTATGTACTCTGTGCCATTGATAGTAGTAAGCATCCTTCACTGACTGTCTACAGTATCTTGAGTACTCCTCACCTTTCATTCTCTGTGACATCACCAAACATCCCTGTTTTGCAGATGATGACATGGAGTGTTAGCATGGGGACTAGTGTGACTGGGACTTGCTCCCTGAGCCTGAGGCCCAGGCTTTTTCATCAGGCCTTCTGCTGTCCTCCTCCCTCATTGGGTTTTGCGTTTAGCTTCCATCTTTAGTATAAGAGGGTCTTGTGGCCCTCCAGAGGTCAGAGGCTGCTCCTTTGACCATGAGACTGTCATTTCATGTACTTCCCTAAAAATGGAAGGTAAAGGGGGCGTCGTGAGCACAGAGTCCTAGAAAAGCAACTTTCCAGAAGAGACTTCTCAGGAAAACCCTTCCAGGGTCTTCCCTCTGCACCTTCCCAGCTGCCTGGCAGGTGGGCCTCTTCCAGGCAGTGCCAGCATTGAAGTCACTCTGATTTCCTCCAGGCCTCTTTCCAGATGCTCCATTTATGGGTGTCCCACAAGCCATTGGGAAGCCTTTCTGTATTCAGGTCCTAGCCTTCTAGGGCAGAGGTTCTCAATTTTAGTGTCTATAGGAATCACCTGGTACTTACCAACACAGCTCACTGCACCCCCTCCTCCAGTTGGGGCCCACCTCTGAGTGAGCAGGTCTGGGTGGGCCTCAGAAGTTCCGTTTCCAAATGAGCGGCTGGGTGGGGGCCGTACATGGAGTACCACTTCTCTAAGGTTTTTGCCAGAATCCCTCAGACCTGCCTTTCCGAGGCCCATACTCCCCTTTAAAATCACCCTGCAAACCCCTCTGTGTTTAATAATTGAGGCAGGTGAGCAATGGCTGCCATCTGACATTGAGTGAGGTCATTATTTTTTGGCCTCTGAAATCAGAAGTGATGTTTGGTCTTTTGCCTCATGTGGCATGTGGAGTTCACTCTTTGGGGAAACCGGGTGTTTCAGGTGGTGAGAGCGGCTGAGGAGGCTGCGTCCACACTGGCCAGTTCCATCCACCCGGAGCAGTGCATCAAGGTGCTCTGCCCCATCATCCAGACGGCCGACTATCCCATCAACCTTGCTGCCATCAAGATGCAGACCAAAGTCGTCGAGAGGATCGCCAAGGAGTCATTGCTGCAGCTCCTCGCCGACATCATCCCAGGCTTGCTGCAGGTAGGTCCTCATGTTGGTTTGCCTGTCCCCAGGCTGTGTGGGCCACCTCACTTGAAGGAATGTAAGGACTCTGTGCTCCCCCTTCACTGGCAGGGACGGGTAGGAAAAAGCAGGCGGGACCTGTGAGGCCGTGTGGCAGGGCCACTTCACAGCCTTCCCGCTCACCCCTCTCCTGAATGCTGAGGTCTTGTGGCAGGCCCACTTCACAGCCTCCCAGCTCACCCTCTCTCCTGAATGCATTAAGAAGACTTACCTGGCAGCTCACAGAATGAACTTTCTGTTTACTATAAACATATTTTGATCATTTTTTGTCCACTCCTTCAACAAACCCTTATTGCACACCTGCTGTATCCCAGCCTTGGGCGAGGTGGACCATGGGGTGTAAATCAAACAATGGTCCTTGGTCTCATGCAGCCCACAAATACTTACTGAAACTCTTCTAAGCATGAGGCAGTGAGTAAGACAGACTGGCAGAAAGCAGCTGCGTTCCACTGTGTGGACTGCCTCAGGATTTTCAGCCTACTGTGCGGCCACGCAGACAATTACAGATGTCGCCATGGGCTACATGACAGTAGCGAAGTGGTTTCCAGGTTGGGGTAGGGGAGAGAGAGGGTCCGTAGAAGAGGTGGTTTCTAGTTGGCCCTTGGCAAGGGAGGGAGTTTCACTGGGGAAAGGTAGAGAGGAGTCAGCATCATATTTAATAAATGCTGCTATTTGCTGGGTGCTTGGGTTGGGGATTAAACACATAACCGTTGGGGACTAGATTATTCCAAACAAAGAGAAAGGCACAGAGGCTGAAGAGCCCGGGCTGTTTGGAGAACAGCAGCAGGTAGCCCCAGCCTGGTATGGGTCAGGATGAGGCAGACAGGTAGATGGAGGTCCAGTTGCAAAGGGACATGGACAGCTGGGTGCGTTGGCTCACATCTGTAATCCCAGCACTTTGGGAGGCTGAGGCGGGCAAATCAAGGTCAGGAGTTCGAGACCAGCCTGGCCAATATGGAGAAACCCCGTCTCTACTAAAAATATAAAAAGTAGCCGGGCATGTTGGCACACGCCTGTAATCCCAGCTACTCAGGAGGTTGAGGCAGGAGAATCACTTGAATCCAGGAGGCAGAAGTTGCGGTGAGCCGAGATCATACCATTGCACTCCAGCCTGGGCAGCAAGAGTGAAACTCTGTCTTCAAAAAAATGGGACATGGACATCAGGGGCTGGCACCAGATGTTCCCCAGCAATCAGTGGAGGGTAGAGGGATTTTGCTCAGAAGAGTGAGGGATGTTGTTCTCATTTCTTTAAAGGCACTTTCACAAGGAAATTTGCTTTACCTTTGGGAGAAATGGTAACAAAGCATTAACTTTCCCCTTCATTCCCTTTTCTCATTTCTCTCTCCCCTATAATGTTTCTTGGGTGGCAGCTTGTTACAGGTGGCACCTGGGCAGATGCAGAGACCAGCCCGGGACTCGCCAGCCTCCTGCTTCTGCACCCCAGAAACCAAGTTTCTCTTGATGCAAAGTTGTGACCTCTTTGGGGTGAAAGCTCTCTGGATTCCATTGCAGGGCTGAGGTCTATCCTGGCTGTCACTGACAAGTCCAAGGTTGAACTCTTAAGGGCGTTTGTGGAAACGTTGATGAGATGTTGACTGTGGAATCAATCTCTGATCTGCTTTCCTTTTTGTGTTCTCTCCTGGCTCTCTAGGGTTATGACAACACCGAAAGTAGTGTGCGTAAGGCCAGCGTGTTTTGCTTAGTGGCAATTTATTCCGTAATCGGAGAAGACCTGAAACCTCACCTCGCACAGCTCACGGGGAGCAAGGTATGGATAGTGTTACCTGGGCCGATACGCACACCTGGGCTCTGCCAGCTTGTCATAAATCCATTTGACTGCAGCTCTGGATTCCAGACAGGTTTTGCCCATTGTGTTTTAGCTGGGCCTTATTTCTCCAAAAGCGTTTTTCTAAGTATAAAAATGAACCGTACAGTGAAATCAGTTTAAGGTAACACTGACATTATACAACGTAGTCTGCCTTTACTCCTGTTTTACGAAATGCTGATTTTGAGCTGCTAGTTTATTTCCAACTTATTTAGAAACTGGGTGATTTTTCATGGAAACAATAAAGAAATTGACCTGCTTGCTTAGCAGTTGCTGAATCAGAGCTGAGTCCTTCATGGGCATCCTTAGTGGCAACAGCTGGCTCTCACTACAAGCCTGCCACGGCCAGCAGGGCAGCCCCACGTACTTTGCATGCGTTGACCCATGTTTACGGCAACATCCCTGTGGGATAAGCATGGTCATCCCCCTTAACCTGCCCCAGGGCACGCAGACCTGACTCCAGGAGGCAGACTTCTTACACTGCTGCCTCTCATGGTCCTTTAAGGGTGTCTGGAATTAGGGGGAAAAGATGGACCAAAACGGATGTCATTGGAAATGAGAGCGGCTAGACTATGTATTGGTTTTAATTAAAAAAAAAAAAAAAAAAAAAAACAACTCAAATCTGACATGCTAGGCTGGTGAGAGCAGATTAAAAACCCTCCCTCGTGCTGCAGCAGGAGAGGCACAGTGAAGAGGTGAAGCCTTAACTCCTGGAGAGGAGGCCAGCTGGGCCTGGAACCTCAGGGCTGCCTGTGGGGAAAGCACATCCCTGTGGAGTTTGAAATCCCCACCCCTCTTTTTGTATAAACCACTGTGTCAGATGAAGCCAATGGAAAGCACGAAACCAGAAGCTTCTGCTCTTATGAGAGGAGGGGCCCGTTTAATTTCAGATTGAGCTGCTGCTTTGACACAGCTGGTGAGCGTCATAGCCGGAGCCTTGCTTCTGCAGAGTTCTGGGGAAGCAGAGCTGTGGCTGGGGTGTTGAGAGCAGCGTTTCTCCACCTTGGTTCTGTTGACACTCCGGGCCACCTTGTTGAGCTGGGCTGTCCTGTGTGTGGTAGGAAGCTTAAGCAGCATCTCTGACCACCACTGTCTATACGGACATGTGCCAATAGCGCCCCCTGCCAATGTGACCATCACTGCTGTCTCACACATGGCCAGATACCCTCTGCGGGGCAAAATAATCACCTGTGGTTGAGAACCACGAGTCCAGAGGAGACACTTTCCTCTTTTTGTGAACAGGAATAAGCAGATAGGCTGGAAGAGGTGTATGAGGCAGGTGTGCAGTGAGTGGTTTGGGAGCGACCTGATTCTGTTCTCCAGTTCCTCTTCCTCTCCCCACTCCTGCATAGGCTCCTCATCAGATCCCCTCCCTAATTATCGGAAAAACACTGAGGAAAAGTCCCCCAGCCCTTCTCCCTCCCCCTACCTCCATCAGGGATTTATAGGTGATTCATGCTGACCGGGAGGACCTCGGAGATACAGTTCACAAAGGGAATTAGATTTATAAAATGCAGAATTCATCCAAAAATAACATGAATCACACCTTGGTTTTGTCTGGCACTTCTTACTCTTCTAAGTAAGAGAGTTGTCCCATCATCTCATTTGACCCTTTGGGTAAGGGACAGAAAATCCCTGCTGCTGCCAGTCTTGGTGATGCTCTGGGTCCAGAGCCCATGTTTCTGACCAGGAGCCAGCCCTTCCCTCCCCCGGTTACACCCTCCGTTGGCTCAGGGGTTTGGAGAGACTGGCCCTCACATCTTTCCGCTTTGGTAGCCTAGTTCATCCATCTATTAAATTTTTTAAATTAATTATTTATTTATTTTTGAGATGGAGCCTCACTTTGTCACCCAGGCTGGAGTGCAGCGGCACAATCTCAGCTTACTGCGACCCCTGTCTCCCAGATTCAAGCGATTCTTCTGCCTCAGCCTCCCAAGTAGCTGGGATTATAGATGTGCACCACCACGCCTGGTTAAGTTTTTGTATTTTTAGTGGAAACAGGGTTTTGCCCTGTTGGCTACTCTGGTCTCGAACTCCTGACCTCAGGTGATCCTCCCACTTCAACCTCCCAGAGAGCTGGGATTGCAGGTGTGAGCCACCATACCCAGCCTAAATTTTTTTAATGTAATAGCTCTGGTGTGTTCATATAAACTTCATAGACCCAGGTACACATCTTCTAATACAAAGTCCCTCCCTTTCTCACCCAGATGGGTAGCTGGCAGAGCCTGGGTCTCAATTTCTTTGACTAGAAACAAAAAGAATCAAGCCGTGGCTCCCTGTTTTCCAGTGTTACAGGCCTGTCAGAACACCCTCTCCCTTTGCTTAAATGAGGTTAATAAATGATACCAGAATCTGTAGAAAGAGGTCTGATGAGAGGAAGGAACCTGGATAGTACATTTGGAGAGATGCCCCATTGCTATGGCAGCAACACTAGCTTTGGGCTCAGCTTGTCTTCTGCTCTCTGCTCCCCACTTACTAGTTTTACGACCTTGAACAAGCATTCTTTTCTTTTTCTCCTCTCCAGTACAGTCTTTTTACTGTGGTATAATATAAAGAAATTTACCATCCTAACTTTTTTTTTTTGAGACAAAGTCTCATTCTGTCACCCAGGCTGGAGTGCAGTGGGGCGATCTTGGCTTACTGCAACCTCCACCTCACGGGTTCAAATGATTGTCCTGCTTCAGCCTCCAGAGTAGCTGGGACTACAGGTGTCTGCCATCACGCTCAGTTGATTTTTCTATTTTTAGTAGAGACGAGGTTTCACCACGTTGGCCAGGCTGGTCTCAAACTCTTGACCTCAAGTGATCCACCCACCTCAGCCTTCCAAAATGCTAGGATTACAGGCACGAGCCACGACATCCAGCCCATTGTAACTGTTTTTAAGCGTATGGTTCATATTATTATTAACTATCATCACCATCTATCTTCAAAACTTTTTTCATTTTACAAAACTGAACTTTTGCACCCATTAAACAATAATTTGCTATTTAATAATTTAATATTTCCCAACCCCTGGCATCCACCATTCTACTTTCCGTCTCCATGAATTTGACTCCCCTAGGTATCTCATGTAAGTGGAATTACGTCATATGCGTCCTTTGTGGCTGACTTACTTCACTTATGATGTCCTCAGGGCTTATCCATGTTGCAGCATTTGTCAGAATGTCCTTACTTTTCAAGACTGAATGATAGTCCATTGTGTGTAGATAGCATGTTTTGTTTATCCGCTCATCTGTTGAGAGACCCTGGGTGGCTTCCACCTCCTGACTCCCGTGAATAATGCTTCTGTGAACACTGGTGTACCTGTTCAAGCCTTTAATGTTTAGAGAAACTTTGCTACTGTTTTCCACAGAGATTGCACATTTTATGTTCTGACCAGTAGTGCACAAGGGTTCTGATTTCTCCACATCCTCACCAACACTTGTTATTTTATGGTTTTATTTTTTTTTTCACTTTTCTAATTTCTAATTATTTCTTTTTTTAAATTAGTTTTTTCCTATCACACTGACAACTGATATTTCTAATTATTTCTAAGAATCATCATAATGGGTATCTCATTTGTTGAAAATAAATACCTGATGGCGATTTCTCATCTGTTAAAAAGATTATCCTTTCCCATTGAATGGTCTTAGCACGATTGCTGAAAATTATTTGACTGGGCCAGGAGTGGTGGCTCATGCCTGTAATTCCAGCACTTTGGGAGGGTCACTTGAAGCCGGGACAGCAAGACCAACAGCTTGGGCAACAGCAATAAATATGTATATATATTCATTTTTGTACACATCTGTACAAAAATAAATTAAAAGAGTGTGTGTGTGTGTGTGTGTGTGTGTGTGTGTGTGTGTGTGTGTGTTGTCACCCAGGCTGGAGTGCAGTGGCACAATGTGACTCACTGGCACCCTTGGCCTCCTGGACTCAAGCCATCCTCCCTGAGTGGCTGGGATTACAGGCACACATAATCACAGCTAATTTTTTATTTTTTTGTAGAGATAGGGTCTCACTATGTTGCCAGTCTGGTCTTGAACTGGTTTCAGACGGTTCTCCCACCTCCGCCCCTCCAGTGCTGAGATCGTAGGTATGACCAGGCCCAGCCAGTTTTCTCTGTCTTTCTGTTCTCTTTTGTTTATCTCTGCTCCAATCTTTATTGTTTTCTCCTGCTAGCTTTGGATTTGGTTCTTGTTTAATTTAAGCATTTATAACTATACATTTTCCTCTTCACCACTGCTTTTGCTGCCTCCCGAAAGTTATCTTTTCATTTTCATTTATCTCAAAATGTTTTCTAAGGCCAGGTGTGCTGGCTCACGGTAGTAATCCCAGCACCTTGGGAAGCCGAGGCCGGAGGATCACTTGAGCCCAGGAGTTCAAGAGCAGCCTAGGCAACATGGCAAAACCCCATCATACAAAAATACAAAAATTAGCTGGGCATGGTGGTGTGCACCTATGGTCCCAACTAGTCAGGAAGCTGAGGTGGGAGGATCATCTGAGCCTGGGAGGTCCAGGCTGCAGTGAGCCAAGATTGTACCACTGCACTCCAGCCTGGGCCAGAGTGAGACCCTGTCTCAAAAAAAAATTTTTCTTTTTTAGATATGTTTTCTAGTTTACCTTAGGATCTCTCCTTTACCCATTGGTTGTTTAAGAATATGTTACTCAGTTTTTACAAATTTATGAATTTTTTAGTTTTCCTTCTGTTATTGAGTTCTTATTTCATTTTGTTGTGGTTGGGAAAGATACTTTGTATGCTATCTTTTAAAATCTATTGAAGCTTAATGTGTCCCTTGAGAAGAATGTATGTTCTGTTGTTGACTTTCATATGTATCTGTTAGAACAAGTTGGTTTATCGCGTTAAGTCACTCTGTTTCCTTGCTTATCATCTGTCTGGTTCATCTATCCATTATTGAGGGTTTGGTATTAAAGTCTTATCTCCAGAAGCTTTTTTGATGTAGTCTGTTTTGTCTGATGTTAGTATACCCAGTCTTGCTCTCTTATGGTTACTATTTCATGGAGTCTCTTTTTATATCCTTTCATTTTCAGTCCATTTGTGTCTTTGGGTCTAAAGTGAACTTCTTATAGACAGCATAATTGGATCACATGTTTATCCATTCTGCCCATTTCTGTCTTTTGATGGAAGAGTTTAATCCATTTACATTTAAAGTACTACCAGGCATGTGGCACACACCTGTAGTCCCAGCTACGCAAGAGGCGTGAAGGTTAGAGGATTTGCCCTCTGAGCTTGGCCCAGCCACTTTACCCTTGTGGAGTGGGGCTCTCACCCTGCTCTTCCCTGACTCTGATGGAGCCTTTGGCTGCAGCCGCCCTTGAGATGTGTGGCCCTGCCCCTCGTATCCCTTTCTCAGGAGCTGCGGCGGCCCACCGGGTTGTGACACCTGGTGCTGTCATTGCCGACTGCTTTGCCCTCTCCTCCTTTCTTCCTCTGTGGCCCTAGCACCTGGCAGATGCATTGGATGAGCCGCAGGCACTCAGAACATGTTTTTATAATGAATTCCGCAACCAGGGGGACTAAGGGACCTGCTGTGTTCTTACTGTCACCTGTGATTCTTTTTCCTGTTTTCTCTTTTCTGATAGTTTTTCCTTCTGCTAATTCATTTTCATCTTCTTTTTTCAGATGAAGCTACTAAACTTATATATAAAGAGGGCCCAGACCACCAACAGCAACAGCAGCTCCTCCTCCGATGTCTCCACGCACAGCTAATAGCAGCGCCTGTCTCTTGTGTAGACCTAGAAGCAATCGGTGGTGCCTCTCAGAGACCTCTCCCTACCCCTCCATCGGCTGCCCAGTCAGTACAATGAGGCCCACAAATATTTATTACAATCAGTATTTCGGTCCCTTCCAGCTTTTCTGTAGAATCTTACTGGTATTGAATGTAAAGGAAGCAAGGCCTGTATTGCAGTCTTCATACAAAACAAAAGGAAAAAGAACAGAAAAGAGCCATACTGAAACATGTCTTGTACAGCCTGCTGAGATGGTGAAACCGTGCGTGTGGGGTGCAGTTTCTAAAAATCAGAGTGCTCTGGCCACTACTTGGTAGAAAGTAGCTTTTTTTTTTTTCAGTTAATAACCGATTTGGGGGTGGGGTGGGGTGTTACTTTGTGTTCCTCCTCCTTAGCCTGTTTTCTTGTGAGTATGGTCTGTGTGGGGCCCCTTTCACAGCCTACACCATGAAAGGTGGTAAGTCTTTAAATTATGTTCCGAGACCTACTAAAAATGGGAATCAAGTCTTGGCAAGAACAGTCTGAAGATGGCCTTTTAACAAACACTGGGAATTTCACTTGTCTTATCCAGACTGGAGGCCAACCACCCTGGCTTTTAGCGTAGAATCAGAAGCGCATCCCCTCAGTCTTTCCAGCCCTCCCTGATCAACTCCACAGACGAGGTCCCTACCCCAGAGCTTCCATGCAAAGGAATTCTTCAAGTTTAAATCTGGACACTAAAATAAGATAAATGTATGGCATCATTTAGGGATGCCTGAGATGGCGGTTCACGAAGCACAGAAGATCAAAGAGTAGTCTTTCATCTTTACTGCTGAGGTCCTTGGGAACACTGGTATCACGAGGGTTCTGCCGGGACCCTCATCCCTGGGCTACTTGGTGATTCACATTTAGCACCAACTTCTTTCCTCTCCCTGACGCTGTCCGCAAGCTGTTCAGTTCGAACATCGTCTCAGTTAATCTGGGAAATGGCATCTGGACCATCTTAGTTCTTCTCCGTTTAATGTGCGATTAAGAGCAAAGAAGAGCCTAGAGAGACTGGATATCACAATTAATTTTTTAAATTTTATAAACTGAAGTAGTTCCTTGAATGTCTGCTGATGAAATAGTAACTGTTTAAGGAATTTCTGCAGATTGCAGAAAAACAGGATTAGAAATACACTTTAAAAACACAGACACATTTAGAGTCTCTCTTCCTTCCTCAAGGAACCACTAGGCCCCCTTTAAAAACATCTTTAGAACCTAATCACTCCAATAAAAGTAACTAGAGGTTTGGAGTATGGTTAAATAAATTGTGATTAAAATTCTTAAGCCAAATGGAAATTCTTAATCATGAGGACTTCTATTGTGTCTTACTGTTGTATTAGATCCTATAAAGTGAACGGATTTTTCCATAAAGAAAATGCTTCTTTTGAGATCAATTCCAATAAGGTATTTGCTATTCCGGTGCAGAGCCCACCTGCAACTACTAGCACTGAAAGTAGAGGCTGAGTGCCAGAGCATGTGATTCTCACCATCATTTCCACAGACCCTCTGCCCTGGCCTCTGGATTGGCTGTAGGAAGCTGGGAAAGACTGACGTTGTATTTGGAAACATGCACTGAAAATGAAGGCCCCATAATGCCCAGGAACAATAAAGCCAGGGTGCTGACCCGTGTGTGTGTGTGTGTGCACGCACCTTACACGTGTGGTACCTCACTGCTGCTGTTTAGGGAACTTGAGGGGTACATTTCAAGGGGTTGGGTATCACTGACTGGCTTTGGCTCAAAATATAGCAGGACCAGGTCTTTCGTTGCTAAACACTGTTTGTTTGTTAGTGTGTCATGAATGGTATTTCTTTTTTACACTCTACAAGTGAGTTAGGGAGTCCTTTGTTGATCCCTCTGTTGTAGGAATGTGTGTCAGGCTAGGTCATCCATGAGTTCCTTTATGCCTAATGCAGTTAGAAGGACCCTTCTCCTTGAGCTCTCTGACTCCCAGAAGGCCCCCCAGGCCCCAGTGTACTTAGAAAGGGTCTCGAACATTGCTGGGCGTCCTCATAGTACTCACCAAGGGCTAGCCTCGAATGTCACTTGCCCAATCTTCAGTCTCCCGACTTAAGAGAGAGATACAATCACATCACAGGTCTCTTGGCCTCAATCTGAAAACTGCTGCCGCCTCGCCGAGGAGACTCGCATGCCGCCACCACCTCACTGGGAGGGTGCCGAGCCCACCTTCGCCCCCCAGACCCTGACAGCTGCAGCTGCCTTGCCTTGCCGCCGCCTCCCTGCAGGGCCCCTGTTCCAATGAAAAACAGAACACAGAAGAGCAGAGCACCTAAGCCTGTCTCCGCCTCCCTGTCTACCTGACTGGCCAGGGCCCTGGGACCCCTGCTGCTCCACTGTGGGCCGGGCAGTCTGACTTCTTGCTTCCTTCAAGCTGCTGCCTCCCCTGCAGCCAGGGTCTGGGCAGGGTGCGGCCGGTCCTCGGGGCACGCAGCTTCCTTCAAGTGCACTGTGTGTGCTTCCCGGACCTGCGGCGGATGCCACGGGCCTGCCTTTTCTATGCGCCTCACTAGCTTCCCACCCTGTGCAGGTAATGCGACTGACTTCATTGTCTCATCAGTCTTTTTCTTTCCCTGCCACCCTTTATTTATCAAGCATAATGTTACACTTTAAAGATCAGCAAATAAGAACTTTGTAGAATCCCACCAGGACTTTGCTAACAATGATGTTTGGAAATTTAAAAAATGCTCTGAAAAATATCAGCCACCAAAATCATTTTGTCGGCACTGTGTTCACACGCATGGTCCCCCACACCCCCAGATTGGGAGGGTTTTTTTTGTTTTTTGGGGTTTTTTTTTGGGCTTTTTCATGTTACATCCATATCTGTATTTATATCTTATTTGTTTCACTTTCAAGTGTATCATGGCAATGTACAGATTTTTTTGTTAATAATGTGCTAGGATTTGCTAAAAAAGAAAACAAAAAAAAAAACCCTTTTGAGTTTGCCCTAGAATAAATGAGACTTAATTCAGGTTGTGCTTGATGATGTCTGTATCACCACCGTGCCCTGCAGACAGCTGATCTGCTCTCCCTGCCGTCAGAACACAGCTGTTTCGATAAAGGATCCAGGAGGAGTACATCAGGAGAGCTCTCCCACCCCACCCCCATGACATCAAGAGGTCAACCTTTGTAATCCCTGCATTCTGGGAGGCCAAGGTGGGCGGATCACTTGAGCTCAGGAGTTTAAGACCAGCCTGGGCAACATGGCAAAACCCCGTCTCTACTAAAAATACAAAAATTAGCCCAGTGTGGTGGTGGTGGGCCTGTACTTCCAGCTACCCAGGAGGCTGAGGTGGGAGAGTCACTTGAGCCCGGCAGGCAGAGGTTACAATGAGCTGAGAATTCACCACTGCACTCCAGCCTGGGTGACAGAGTGATACCCCATCTCAAGAAATATGTATTAATATAAATTTTTAAAAAGAGGTCAACCTGGGGAAATGTACCTGATGGAGTCCCCTGGGAGTGGGTTGCTGTGCCATGTGTGCAGTGACAAGGTGGGGATGAGACGCCTGGGCTGGAATCCCAGCCATACTTCTGGGGCCGTGGGAGGAGGGGCTTCCCTCATCTGGGCTCCATTTCCTCAACTGAGCAGCGAGGACGGTAGCTCCCAGAAAAGGTAGAAGCAGGAGAAAGCTCGGCCTCCAATCCTGAGATGAGCCGGAGAGCTGCTGAGAGCAGGCGGGCTCCACAGCCACTGCTTTGAAGCCCTTTTTTCCTTCAGTTTTTAAAATTGAGGCAAAGTACACGTAACACAAGATTTACCATCTTAACCATCTCTAAGCATGCTGTTCCATGGTAGTAAATATACTCAGGTCATTGTGTGACCATCACCATCGAGGTACTCTCTAGGGCTCTTCACTAGTGAAACAAACTCTGTCCCCATCAGGCGTAACTCCCTTCCTCCCGCCGCCGGGCCACTGGCAGCCACCATTCTACTTCCTGTCTCTCTGAATTTGACTGTTTAGGCACCTCGAATATGTGGATCATAACAGTATGTGGCTTTCTGTAACTGGCTTCTTTTGCTTAAATGTCCTTGAGGTTCATCCATGTCATGGTATATATCACAATTTCTTTCGAAAAAAAATTTTTTTAAACACATGTTCACCTGCATTTTTAAAATTTTTAATTTCCTTCCTAAGGCTAAATAATATTCTGTTGTATGGATAGGCCACATTTTGAAGCTTTACTTTTTACTAAAAAGTTGTTTACCATCGTGTTCCACGATACCTCCCGAGTGCCACTATCCAGTGATTCTGTGGCTCACCCCCTTGGACCTCTGCCTGAGATGCCACAGGGTGCTCTGGATCTCAGATACTTGAATTGGAATCCCAGCTCTGCCCCCGGCCCCCTTGGGCAGGTCACTTCCTGCCTCAGTCTTTTCGTCTATGAATTAAGAACTGCCGGGCTGTATTCAAAACTGTAGAAAAAAATAAAAAATAACTGCCTGGCAGAGGTGCCATGAGAGTTAATGGAGATGATGTAAGCGAAGCAGCTGGGCCAAAATACCTGCTCCGATGGTCACCTGCCCTGCCTCCTACTGTGGACGGGAACTGCACAGGAGGGTGACGTCATCCCCCTTTCCTCCCCACATGCACACCTGCGCCTTCAGTCAGAGCCCATTATTCATTAGCGAAAGCGGAAAACCCCTGGGGCATGGGACCAGGTTCAGGCGCAGCAGCCTGTTCCACTTTCTATATGTGGTTCTCCAACCACTGGTGCCATTACCCTACCTTATCTTGAGCTGCCAAGACCTTGCCGTTTTTTAGAAGGTCACAGGCCACTGGTGAAGGGTAGAGGCTCTCAGCATTCCTGGCTGATGAACTTAACACTTTGCAAGAATTCTGGTCTGAGGCGTCTTGCTGATTGTCACACCAGTCCTGAGAATAATGACTGACAGATGCCCTGTGTTCAGTTTCCAAATGGAACAGGCACAGGAGGAGTCCCAGCTAAACAGTGACCGACAGAGCTGGGCCCAGGCCCCGCTCTGCTCAGCCCAGCTGCGCTCCCGTCCCCGCATCAGGCCTCGCACCTTTCCATCTCCCCTGGAGTTAGTAGGACTCTCCTCAGAGTGCACATCAGAACCCCTGGGGGCTTGTGAAGCAGATCTCAGCTGGCCTACGTTGCTGACCCAGTAGAGTCAGGGCAGCCTGATAACGTGGCATCTCTATGGAGTGCCCAGGCAATGCTCCCGATGCAAGGCTGGGGACCCCAGTTGGGGAACCACTGGAGAGCATTTTGCTTAAAATGTTAACAGGTGGTTTGATCCCAAGGTTGGGGACGATCCCACAGGGTGTGGCTGAAAACAGGGCGTGGCATCAGGAATGTCAGGCCATCCCTGTCATTACAGGTAACTATGGTGACCGGCTAGCAGCACCGGGAGGATGACTTTTTTTTTTTTTTTTTTTTTTTTTTGAGACGGAGTTTCGCTCTCCTTACCCAGGCTGGAGTGCAATGGCGCGATCTCGGCTCACCGCAACCTCCGCCTCTTGGGCTCAGGCAATTCTCCTGCCTCAGCCTCCTAAGTAGCTGGGATTACAGGCATGCACCACCACGCCCAGCTAGTTTTTTTGTATTTTTAGTAGAGACGGGGTTTCACCATGTTGACCAGGATGGTCTGGATCTTTCGACCTCGTGATCCACCCGCCTCGGCCTCCCAAAGTGCTGGGATTACAGGCTGAGCCACCGCGCCCGGCCGAGGATGACTTTTGAAAGTGAAATGGGATGCTGTTAGCGGAGGAGACTGGGGGCCTAGGCCGCCTGGGCCGGACCTCCCTTCTCAGGGCACAGCTCTTCCCCACAGGCTCAGCCCACCTCCTCCCGTACTTATTAACTCACACTTCATCGGTTCCAGGCAGGAACGGACAAAGGTCATGTATTCTCCTCCCAGCTCTGTGTTTAAAAGACATTAAAATGCTTCTTGCCATGCCCTCCTCAGCTTCAGGGGCTGGCCTCCAGGCGGACTTGCCCGGCCCGGAGCTCCTGGAGACACAGTGTTCCTGGGTCACTTCCCAGCGGCTCTGGGATGCCCTTCCTCCCGTGTGCCCTGCCAAGTGCCTGGGAGCAGTCTGGGTGGGCCGGGCAATGCGGGGCTGCTACAGGGGTGCTTCAGGCTCTGCACCCACGTGGCCTCTGCTCCCCCACTGTGAGGACCTGGAAGTCTCCAGAGGTATGTCCAGGGCCAGCACCCGGGCCATCTTCTCCTCTGGTCTCCTACTTTCCTGTCTGCATTCTGCCATTCCCCTGGACACTTGCTCATTGTTCAGTGGGGTCAAGAGTGCTTACTACTACAAGCTGGCCAGGTGCAGTGGCTCATGCCTATAATCGCAGCACTTTGGGAGGCTGAGGCAGGAAGATCTATGGAACTCAGGAATTCAAGTCCAGTGTGGGTAACAGAGGGAGATCCCATCTCAACAAAAAGTTTTTAAAATTAGCTGAGTGGAGTGGCAAATAAGTCCCAGCTGCTCAGGAGGTGGAGGCGGGAGGATCGCTGGAGCCCAGGAGATCGAGGCTGCAGTGAACCTTGAATGCACCACCACACTCCAGCCTGGGTGGCAGCCGGAGACCCTGTTTCAAAATAACAAAACAGAAACCACCCGCCAAACTCTGTTCGGATACGTCGCTGAGCTTTCTGCTTTAATCCTTACAACAATCCTGTGAGGCAGTTCCTATGATAATTCCCATTTTGCGCATGTGAAACAGCGGCCCAGAGACTCTGAGTAACTTGCCTGGGGTCACAGGTCTCTCATAAGAGAGCTGGGATTCAAACCCAGGAAGTCTAGCTCTAGACTGAACCAGAGTCTCGCTTTGTAACTTCGTCCCTTCCCTTCCATTTCCCATCCACCTGACTTGTTAGCAAGGTCAGGTGGGCTGTGGTCACAGGCAGGCCCAGCTGCTGGACACCAAGCCCGTGGTAAACATTTCCACGGCACTCCCAGGAGCTGCTGACCGGGCCTCGTTGGGGAAAAGCCCACCTGGGTGCCGGAATCTAGGGCTTGAATTCAACCTTGTTTTGAAGCCTGTGACTAGCCAAATGACTCCAGTTTAGGACGATTTTGGTTTCTTCCTCTGTGAAACCCTAGGAGATGAGAATTGGAGATGTAGGGCTGGGGTGTGTGTGTGTGGGTGTGTGTGTGAGGGTGTGAGGATTAGCACACTGTGTTAAAGTCCCTGACACCCCTCCGGGAGCCTCAGCAGATGTCAGCCCTCTTCATGCCTACAGTGTTACTATCACGGAGGCCCCTGCCCTGGTTTCTGACACACAGTGCTCCACAAAGTTCTGGACAAATAAACAACGGATGTAATGTCTCTGCCCCATCACCCCCCAGTCCACGGAAAAGATTCATATGACAACCGTGGGCTTCTAGGCACCTCTGTCCACTGGGGGAGATGACAGGGCTGGGAACAGGATGGGGCCAGCATCCCCTCTCGTTCACCCCCCATCCCCCATGCCTGCCAGGGTCCTCCTCAAACCAAGTGCTGCCAGGCCCGGCTTTCCTGCCGGTTTCCCACTGCTTACTGCCCTCAAGTCTGCGGATACTGATGCCAGGCTCTCCCCACCTTCCACTCCCCCTTCAGCATCCTCGCGGCCCCGGCAACCCGCCTCCCATTGAGCAGATGCTGCTGGAACCCTCTCCTACCTGCCCCTCCGTTCCCGACCCCCTACATCCTCCGCCGCTTCTATCCTCTTCCCCAAAGCTGCGTGGCTGCTGGGTTTTCGTTTGTATTATTTTGTTTTTTATGTTTTAGAGTCAGGGTCTCACTCTGTTGTCCAGGCTGGAGTGCAGTGGGGCCATCACGGCTCACTGAAACCTCGACCTCTTGGGCTCAGGCAATGCTCTTGCCTCAGCCTCTTGAACTCCTGGCCTCAAGCGATGCTCCTGCTTCTGTCTCCCAGAGTGCTGGGATTACAGACCATGCCACCAGCCCACCCTGCTGTTTTTTAAAAAAACGCTCCCCTGATGTGTCATCCTT